AAGAAGAGGTTCCTCAAGGATGTATTTTGAGTGTGACTCTGTTCCTAATTAAAATTATCAGCATAGCTAACTGTCTTCCTCCCAGTGTGAAACACTCTTTGTATGTGGATGACTTTCAGATCTCCTGCCAGTCTAGCAACATGAGTTTTATTAAGAGACAACTGCAAACATCCCTAAATCGCATAGACAATTGGTCCAAGACCAATGGTTTTAGTTTCAACATAGAGAAGACCTCGTGCATTCACTTTTGCCGAAGGCATGGTTTGCACCTGGATTTTGAAATTTATTTAAATGGCATTTAAATTCCAATTGTGAATGAGGCTAAGTTTTTGGGTGTTTGTTTTTACCAAAATCTGACATTCTTGCCACACTTGCGCAACCTGAAGAGTAGATGTTTAAAATATCTAAACCTTTTAAAGGTATTACGCTGCTCATCCTGGGGAGCAGACAAAGTTTCTATGCTCAGGATTTATAGGGCCCTTGTTTGCTCTAAGCTGGACTACGGATGCATTGTTTACGGCTCTGCGCGAGAATCTACTCTTCGGATGCTGGATCCAATCCACCATGCAGCTTTGCGTTTGTGCACTGGTGCATTTCGAACTTTTCCTGTACAAAGTTTGTATGTGGATGCTTATGAGCCACCACTGTCTCTCAGGAGAGAACAGTTGTCTCTTTTTATTATATAAAACAGAAATCTCATACTAAATTTTCAGTTGATTGTACAGTATCAGATACTCAGTTGAAAAGGTTATTTGAAGCTCGCTTATGTAGTGTCCCTACATTTGTTGTAAGAATGGAGAATGTAAGCAGCACGATTGACCTGAATACAAGCAACATTTCACAGGCTCGGGTTGATAATATACCACCTTGGTCAACTCCTGAGATAAATGTTGACTTTAGCTTAAAGCAGTTTTCTAAGGAATTTACTCCAGACTATATCTACATACAGCACTTTGCAGAAATCCAACAGATTGACAGGAATTTGGTTCCTATTTATACCGACGGTTCTAAATCGGATGAATATGTTGGCTCAGCCTTTGTTTGTCAGGATGAAATTGTGGCAGAACAAATTGAATCGAATTCATCTGTTTTTACTGCAGAGCTGCTGGCTATTTATTTTGCTTTAAATTATGTATTTAGAAAAGGTCATAGTGGTTGCGTGATTTACACTGACTCAGTTAGTTCTCTTCAGGCTTTGATTTCATGTGAACCTAGTTTTCACTCCATAGTGATTGAAATTCGTAAACTGTTTTGCCATCTTCTTGCAAGGAATTTCTCTATAAAATTTTGTTGGTTCCCAGGCTATGTAGGTATAAGAGGAAATGAAGAAGCTGATGCAGCTGCAAAGTCAGCTAGTCTTCCACAGCATACAATGCATATTGAAGGAGGTGATTTGAAGCTAGTCGTTTAGAAACGACTAGCGGCGAGATGGCAAAATATGTGGAATGCACAAGTCCACAATAAACTACATGAGATCAAACCTATGATAGAAAATTTGACACATAAGCAATTTTACGACAGGAGATCTGAGGTTATTTTTACTCGTCTGAGGATTGGACATACTCGGTTGACTCATCAATACCTTTTGAAGGGTGAAGAGCAACCAGTATGCCAGTATTGCAACTGCTTACTAAGTGTTAAACACATACTGCTCAACTGCTCTGCCTTTGAGATCAGTCGTAGACAGCATTTTGGAAATGCAACTTTCAAAGATATTCTGGGCCAGAGACCAAATCATTATAATGTATTGGACTTTTTAAAAGTCATTAATTTGTATAAAGAAATTTAATTAATCAATTATTTATTTATATATTTATTTCATTTTTGCATGTTGTTTTTCGTTTGTACTTAATATGTGTATATTTATTTTCGTTGTTGTTGTTTATTTATTTATTTATTATGCTTAAAATTTTTTTAACCATTTGCCTTGGCGCAGCATGGCCTATACGGCTCTTGTGCCAAAAAACAAAAACCAACCAACCAACNCCAGATGTCAGAGTCAACGAAGATGAATTGGATGCTTTGGTTGAACAGTTGCCTACTCCATTTGTTTTACTAGGTGATTTCAATGGTCACAATCCAATGTGGGGCAGTCCCGACATTAACCGTCGAGGCAGGACCATTGAAAGGTTCATAGGCAATCAGCAGTTATATTTATTTAATACAGGAGAAGTGACATACTTCCATGCCCCAACAAGAACATTCACTGCCATTGATCTATCACTAGCAACCCCGAACCTATTTTCAGCGTTTACATGGGAGGTTGGATCTAATCCACTTTCCAGTGACCACTTCCCAATATTTCTAAAATATCAAGGCAGAGAAAGCTGCGAAACAGCCCGTCCACCACGCTGGAAATTGGAAACAATTGATTGGCCTGTTTTTTCTTCTATGGCCAACATAACGGAGGATATGGTGAATATTGCTGATATTGAAGTGTTCACGCAGTATTATTGAGACAGCTGAAAAAACAATGGGGAAGACATCAACTAGATATCCAAAACATCCTAAACCATGGTGGAACCAGAATTGTGAGGCAGTATTTAAAGCCCAAAAGAAAGCATGGTTGATTTTCAGAAGATACCCCACTGCTAGAAATTTTGTTGCTTTTCAAAAAGCAAAGGCAAATGCCAGAAGAATAAGAAGGCAAAGCCAAAGGGATTCTTGGAGGAAGTATGTCTCTAGTATAACATCTTCCACTAGCTCAAAAGTAGTCTGGGATAAAATCCATAAAATTAATGGGAAATATGCTTCCCACTCTCTGTTGATGCTGGAAAATAATGGCACAATAATCAGCGATATACGGGGTATTGCCAATTTGTTGGGTGAAACATTTTCTTCTTCATCCAGCAATGTAATGTTTACTAGGAATTTTCAGGCTTATAAAACCCAAAGTGAAAAACAGTGTTTAAATTTTGACTCCTCATCAAATGAGGAATATAATGTGCCATTTACGAGCATAAAACTTTATACGACGATCTCTTGCTCAGGGAATAGTGCTGTAGGCCCAGATAAAATTTATTACAGCATGATTAAAAATCTGTCAAACAATTCCCTTCGTAATCTTTTAAATCTGTTTAACAGAATATGGAGAGAACATACTTTTCCCGACTCTTGGAGGCTATCTATCATTGTTCCCATTCCCAAGCTAGGTAAAAACCGCAAGAATCCCTCTAATTATAGACCAATCTCTTTGACGAGTTGTCTCTGTGAACTATTTGAGAGAATTGTAAACAGACGTCTAATGTATCTCTTAGAGAAAAAGGAATACTTTTCTCCACATTAGAGTGGTTTTCGTAGGAACGGAAGTACCACTGATAACTTAGTAAACCTTGAAACATCTATTCGCGAAGTGTTTGTTAGACGACTGCACTTAGTGTCTGTGTTTTTTGATATAGAGAAGGCCTATGATCGCTGTTGGCGTTATGGGATACTCCGTGATCTGTACCAATTCGGATTGCGGGGTAATTTGCCAATGTTTATAAAAAACTTTTTACAGAATCGTAGATTTCACGTCAGGATGGGCAACACCTTATCTAGGTTCTTTTCACAAGTAGAAGGTGTTCCTCAAGGTTCTATTTCGAGTGTGACTCTGTTCCTAATCAAAATCAACAGCATAAGTAACTGTCTTCCTCCCAGTGTGAAACACTCTCTGTATGTGGATGACTTTCAGATTTCCTGCCAGTCTAGTAATATGAGATTTATCGAGAGACAACTGCAAACCTCCCTAAATCGCATAGACAATTGGTCCAAGACCAATGGTTTTAGTTTCAACATAGAGAAGACCTCGTGCATTCACTTTTGCCGAAGGCGTGGTTTGCACCTGGATTTGGAAATTTACCTAAATGGGGATAAAATTTCAATGGTGAATGAAGCTAAGTTTTTGGGTGTTTCTCTTGACCAAATACTGACATTCTTGCCACACTTGCGCAACTTGAAGAGTAGATGCCTAAAATCTTTAAACCTTTTAAAGGTACTATGCTGCTCATCCTGGGGAGCAGACGAAGTTTTTATGCTCAGGATTTATAGGGTCCTTTTTCGCTCTAAGCTGGATTACAGTTCCATTGTTTATGGCTCTGCGCGAGAATCTACTCTTCGGATGCTGGATCCAATTGATCATCAAGCACTGCGCTTGTGCACTGGTGCTTTTCGAACTTTTCCTGTCCAAAGTTCGTATGTGGATGCTTATGAGCCTCCATTATCTCTCAGGAGAGAACAGTTGTTTTTTTTTATTATTTAAAACAAAAATCCCTTACTAAACCTTTAGTTGATTGTACAGTATTAGATACTCAGCTGAAAAGGTTATTTGAAGCTTGCCCAAGTTGTGTTCCTGCATTCGCCATAAGAATGGAGAATGTGAGCAGCAGGATTGATCTGAACACAGGCAACATTTCACAGCTGGAGATTTATAGTATATCACCTTGGTCATCTTCTGTGCTAAATGTTGAGCTTAGCTCAAAGCAATTTCCTAAGGAATTCACCCCAGACTATGTCTACAGACAGCACTTCGCAGAAATTCAACATTGTGACAAGAATCTAATTCCAATATATACTGCCCCTCGATGTGGGTTCCTGTCTGTGGTGAGGGGACCTCCCAGAGATGGTTTAGTAACTCTTCTTTACCATCCCTGGGATCTGAACGCCTACCTACGTGTTTGCCGTGCATGGTGTTTCGTATGCCGGAAAGGGGGATCCTGGTAGTTGAGGGGCAACACATCGTCCCCAACACACTGCTTTGGCCCTTGCTTTGGATAAACGGGAGGCTCAAATCAGGCTCCATTTGAGTCAATCGGCTGGTCGTTGAGTCATTGTAGACTTCGGTTTGGTGTCAACTGATCGATGCAGACCAGGCAGACACGTTAGACAAGATGTGCTCTTCCTGACTGCATTGTGAGGGTATAGCTCCTGGAAAACATTGGTGTGACGGTCTATGGGAGTTTCCCATGTGACGGCATTTCCTTGTTGGGCCCCATGGTGGGTGGGGTCACTAGGAGCTGAAATATTATTATTTAATCATGGATCCTAAATTTTCAAAAAATAAAGACAAGCCAGAAAACACTGCCAGTCAGCCATCCTACTTAATAGTGCATGCTACTGGAGAAAAACCTTTGTCAAAATGCTCCCCTTTTTTGATTCAGAAGTTATTTGAATCAACGATCGGACACCTGAAAAAAACACAAAAACTGAGGTCAGGAGACCTACTTGTAGAAACTGCCTCACCTCAACAGTCGGCAAAACTTCTAGCTGCAAAGAAATTGGGAGACATTGAAGTCACTGTCACACCACATGGAAGTTTGAACTCTTCACGTGGTGTGATATCTGAGTTTGATCTGATGTCTGAAGATGAATCAGATATTCAGATTGGCCTTTCAGACCAAGGTGTTACTGCTGTCCGACGTATCTCCATTCGTCGGGATGGCAAGTTAATACCAACTAAACATTTAATCCTCACCTTTAACAAGCCGACATTGCCATCTTTTATTACAGCAGGTTATCTGCGCTGCCCTGTCCGTCCGTACGTTCCAAATCCGCTGCGTTGTTTCAAATGCCAGCGGTTTGGACATTCACAGACATCCTGTCGTGGAAAGAGCGTATGTGCACAGTGTGGGACTGAAGGTCACGAGAGTACCGAGTGTACCAGTACCCCATGCTGCGTTAACTGCAAAGATGCCCATCCTTCTTACTCTCGAAAATGAGCCCTGCATGGCAAAGAGAAAAGGAGATACAATGGGTGAAAACAGTAAACAACTTACCTTACCCAGAGGCGCGCTGAATGGTCACTTCAAGTGCACCACTAAAACAAAAGACATTCGCTGCTGCTTTGAAGTCCACAAAAACATGTGGAGTTCAAAGCCAGGCATGCGAAATGTTTACTGATTCCACCAAAAGAAACACCAGAAAAGGAGAGTTTAAAATAAAAAACACTCCTACCTAAAACAGGGGTAATAACAAGAAACCCTGGTTCTAAAAAGGCTAGTAAGAACCCACTAAACAAGCAGAGAGTAAAAGCAGCTGTCTCTAAATGTAAAAAATCAAAAACCCACTCTATGATTGAGTTTTCTGATATCTCTGATGAAGAGACTAATCAGGAGGTGACAAAACCAATATCACCTTTAAAAGAAAAACCCCTGGTTAGATTAAAGAGAGATAATCTCACAAAGAATGCTGCCTCAAACACGTAATGGGTTATAAAATAACCCAATGGAACTGTCGTGGTTTCCGCAACAACTTCTCTGACATTAAACACTCGGCATCATCTACCCAATCTCTCTGCGTGGCACTCCAGGAAGCCCATCTAAAACCTGGAGAAAATATTTTTTTAAAAAGATTCGATCTATACCGCAAGGATGATGATAGCCACAACCGTGCCAGTGGCGGTGTGGCTATTGTAGTTTCAAATCACACCCCATCTTCGCCGGTACAAATAACTACTGATCTACAAGCTGTGGCAGTCAGAATTTCTATTGGAGTAACTGTCACAGTTTGTTCTATATACTTGCCACCAGATGTCAGAGTGAATGAGGATGAATTGGATGCATTAGTTGAACAGATGCGAACTCCATTTCTTTTACTGGGTGACTTCAATGGCCACAATCCTATGTGGGGCAGTCCTGACATCAATCGTCGAGGCAGAGCCATCGAGAGATTTATAGGTAATCAGCAACTGTATCTATTTAATACTGGAGAAGTGACATACTTCCATGCCCCATCAAGAACGTTCACTGCCATTGATCTATCATTAGCAACTCCGAATCTGTTTTCAGCATTTACATGGGAGGTTGGATCTAATCCACTCTCTAGTGACCACTTCCCAATATTTCTAAAATATCGAGGCAGAGAAAGCTGTGAAACAGCCCGTCCACCACGCTGGAAACTGGAAACGGCAGATTGGCCTACATTTTCCTCTTTGGCTAACATCACTGAGGAAATGGTCAATACTGCTGATATCAATGATGCAGTTGAAATTGTCACTTTGTGTATTATTCAGGCAGCTGAGAAAACAATGGGAAAAACATCAACAAGATACCCAAAGCATCCGAAACCATGGTGGAACCAGAATTGCGAGGCAGCATTTAAAGCACAAAAGAAAGCATGGGGAATTTTCAGAAGATACTCCACTGCTAATAATTTGATAGCTTTTCAAAAAGCGAAGGCAAATGCCAGAAGAATAAGAAGGCAAAGCCAAAGGGATTCTTGGAGGAAATATGTTTCTAGCATAACATCCTCCTCTAGCACAAAAGCAGTCTGGGATAAAATCCACAAAATTAATGGGAAATATGCGTCTCATTCTCTGTCCATGCTGGAAAATAATGGCACAATAATCAGTGATATACAGTGTATTGCTGACACATTGGGTGAAACTTTTTTTTTTTGTCATCCAGCAACATAATGTATTTAAGGGATTTCCAAGCTTACAAAGTGCAAAAGGAAAAGCAACATTTAAACTTTGACTCCTTATCTAATGAGGAATATAATGTGCCATTTACTAGAATCGAATTACAAACAGTGATTTCTCGCGCGGGGAATAGTGCTGTAGGCCTGGATAAAATCCACTACAGCATGATTAAAAATTTGTCAAACAATTCCCTTTCTAATCTCCTGCATCTGTTTAACAGAATATGGACAGAAAATACTTTTCCTGACTCTTGGAGACTATCTATCATTATCCCCATTTTCAAACCTGGTAAAGATCACAAGAATCTCTCTAATTACAGACCAATCTCTTTAACAAGTTGCCTCTGTAAACTCTTTGAGAGGATGGTAAACAGACGCCTGATGTTCCTCCTAGAGGAAAAGAATACTTTTCACCACATCAGAGTGGATTTCATAGGAACAGAAGTACCACGGACAATTTAGTAAAACTTGAAATATTCATACGCGAAGAGTTTGTTAGACGACTGCACTTAGTGTCTGTTTTCTTTGATATAGAAAAGGCCTATGATCGCTGCTGGCGTTACGGAATACTTTGTGATTTACATGAATTCGGACTGCGGG